GAGCATCGCCGCGGCTGCTGTCACAGGGGGAGTCACACCCAGGCTTTTCCCCCCAAGGAGCTCTTTAGAACTGTTATTCTGTGGTTTGTTCTCTATTTAGCACGACCTGGGAGCTTTTTAGGGGGAGAAGCTGCCTGTCGGGGTCAGGGGGAAGCGAAAGGTCCTTGTTGCTTCCCCGGAGGGCGCGGTGTGGTCGGGACCTGCTGCTCTGAGCTTGGGAGGCTCCAAAGGTGAAGAAGGGATGGGTCTGTGGGGTGATGCTGCGATCGCCCGCGGCCGGCGGGGCCACAGGAGGGACTCTACGGCCAGGCTCTGCGGGTGGTTTTTCCGTCCCTATTCCTGCTCCTCCTGCAGCGAATGCCAAAAGCTACAAGGGAAAAACCTGCTCCGAGGCAGCCCCAGTTTCTGCTGGCGAAGGGCTAAAACCCCGAGCCCCTTCCTGCTTTGTGTTGCTTTCTCGTGTGTCCAACCCCATCCTCTGGCAGCTCGGATCATCCCCGAGCGTCAGCCGAAGACCTTCGGTTCCATAACTGCACCCCTCCAACTAAACGAGCAGCTTTCCTAGCGAAGGTAGGGGATATCCATGCTTTCGGTTAAAAGACCTCCTAGGGAAGACCGTGGACCAGCCTCAACCAGGGAAGGCTCGCCAGGAAGCCGACGGGATTTCTGCTTCGGTATAAGGCAGAGAAAAATTTGGGACTGTGCTATTCCCCGGCAGCCGCTGTCCGCCACGTACAGTCGTGGGCTTTCTGGTTTTGCTCACCGCCGTCTGGACTGCTGCTCGGAGCCGTGTCAGCCCGGTTCCTCCCCGATGGCGTTAGAGGCCGGGTCTCCGGGGAAGGCTGCCGCCCCTCCTGCGGCCCCACGCCATGTCGAGTGCCAATGCGTCGTTCTCTGGCGCAGCGTTCGCCGGGGCGGGGATGCGCCGTGCTTGTTTCCTGCCCTCTCGGATCCTAAAAGCTCGTGAGGAGCGAGAAGTCAGTACTGCCTTTTTCATCTAGAGGGTTGTGCCTTTCTTTGAAGAACCGTTTGCTTGCCGGCTCCTCTCTGCGGGGGAAAAGCACTCGAGAAAACGAAATCTGCTTTGTGGAGGAGGCTTCGCCCTCCGTTTCTGCGGGGCAGCAGCACTCCCCTTCTCGGAGGAAACAGCTGCCGGCATTTTAAAATGTTTGTGGGGCAAAAAACAAGCACACAGCCTTCTTCACGTCCCCGGTGTTCGTCAGCCAACGTGCACCAACGGTCAGCGTCCCCATTTTCATTTCTTCCGGCAAAGAAACCAAGAAAGCACCTTAAGTCAGGAAAAGACCGAGCCCTCGTCACCGGTTGCGTTTTTCTGGCTTACGAGACAGCGTCCATCTCATGGGAGAGATTTTGGATTCTGAGCAATAAACCCCCCTCCATGGGAGTCTAGGGAAGACTGGAAGTATTAAATGTGTGTAACTCACCCTGCCGAACCGCGGGAACCTGCACTTTGAA